ATTATTGTTTGCATCTCACCTTATCAATGCTCTCATTGCGGAAGGATGCTTTGTTTGACCAACTCAGCAGCTGAAGCTGAATTATGGGCTGGTCATCAGAGGCTTGAGGAAGTTATTATCCTTGGTGACATTAAGGGGAGTTTGGATCTTCCATGTTTACATGGGGAGATGTTTCCAATGTACAGATGTAATGTCTTGTGGATAAGCGTGGGTAAGAAATGGGAATTTCATTAATGTTTATTTTGGAAGGAGTACAAATACAAATATGTTATATACAAAATATAAGGTTTTGTTCTCTACAAATTTATATTTGAAGCCTAAGATGATGCTAGAAAGAGGAGGGAAAATTGGAAAGAAAAGCCATGAGCACAGAGATTTCTCTTAAAAAAAAAAACTTATTATAAACTAGTGAATTAACAAAATTACTGATTTTGCTCAATCAAAGAAAGAATAGAAAAAGCATTGGTGAGAGATGCTGATGTCCATTCTGGATTACTTGGGATACATTCCTAAGTCCTAACCCACTTGGATCAGTTGGACCATGTAAGTATAGAATACCACATAAATAAAATACATAGTCTGTATATTACACTCGAAGGTGCATTATTACTATGGAGGATCAACAATCGGGCCTCCCTGCAGAAAGATAACCAATAGATCCCGATCGATGATGTGCTGAGGCCAAGTAATCAAGTGACACATTGGATTATGGAGGGCTTGTGGTTACACCTTACACTACACCATTTTGATATTGCATCTTCTCTTTTCGCGGGGGATTCATGTGGTGGGGATAAATCAGGGTAAACGTGAGGTCCATTTATCTTATTACAGAGCAGGCATCCCCTCTTTTGGAGAGGAGAGGGATGGGTTTGATGTGATTTCACATCTTCTCTGTTTATGGGGGATTCATGTGGAAGTAAGGTTTTTAAAACTGGACCATCATTTTGGGTCTGGTTTTTAGGTTGAATGGTCTGATTGGCCAATTTGAACGGATGGCCTGTTCTAACCTTAATTTTAAAAAAATTAAGGTTTTTAAAACTGCACATGAGTTTCATTAACCTTAATTTAAAAAAAAAATAAAATTACACAAATTTGACCCTGCATCTCCTCTTTCTGAGGGATCGGATTTGCACTTTCAAAAAAGAAGGATCAGATTTGCGCCCCACATGCATCCCATACTTATCATGGGGAGATGTGCCCAATACACGACTGAGATGGGCTGTGGGGGGCATTGTTGCGAGTTCAGCCACCTCAACCCAACATTCGAATATTATCATAACACAAGGTGTGGCTTGTCATCCACCAATGAAAATGACAAATATGTGCTTCATGGAAGGGAGTGGAGCTAAAATTTTTCACTATAATTGACCATCTAGCTTTGGCGTTGGCATGGATGTTGATCAGTGTTCCATTGATCCGGCCGATTGAATCATTTGAACCTTCACTCAGTCACGATTCTGGGTTCAATTTAGTCAAAACCCATTAGGTAGCCAAAACCATTGACTTGGTCAAGAACCATTCAATCCGGCCAATTTAAGTGTTCATTCATTTGACTTGATCACCGGGTCATTGATTGTACATTTATTGCATGCAAATTTTCTGAGGCCATAATTTTGCATTTCAATGTTCGATTGGAGTGATCGTTTTTTTTTTTGTTAATTTTTCGATATCTATGCATTGCAAGACACCATTTTTTGTCCTCAAATTGTAATTTTTAATATTTTTTATAAATTAAAAATGAAAAATTAAATTAAAAAAAATATTAAATAAAAAAATGCATATCACATATCTAAAACATAATTATACATTATTTATTAATAAAATATATATTTATATACAATATGCACAGCGCAATTGTATATAAAATATACATTATTTTATGTACAATTATTTATTAATAATTATGCACAGCATAATTATACATTATTTATTAATAAAATAAACAAAATTTATACTATATATATATATATTTGTACTCTTTTCAAACTGAACCTAAGAAATTTAATTTATATAAAAGAGGGGACTGATCAGATGGTTATATATAACATTACTCATAATTTCTAAGAAAAATTACACTTTTCTCCATTTCTCTTTGATACATACAGCCTGAATCTTCCATCCAAGAAACACATACACGTGGCATTCGGGGCAGTTCTGTCATTGTGCAGACCTTGGAGGGTAGTTTTAATATTTTGCTCTTTGACTTAATGAAGAATCATAATGGCAAGTATTATGACCTTGGTCGAGCCCCTTGATACATTAATGATAGTCGATAGAGTAAGGCTCGTTCATGTGGCCATTGTCTTAATGGCCTCGGCGTTAATGACACCCGATGTGCGAGTGAGAAGTCATTGGGAAGCCCATTATGTTCCCTCAAGAGGAACCTCACTTATAAATACGGATCACTGACCACGGTAAGTTCTCTCATGCACTCTAATTTTACTGTTGCACCTACTCTCCTCTCATTGCTCTCACTTTGGTACCTCGGCCAACTTGATCCAAAGAACGTGTTGATGTTCAGAATGGGCTGAGCATAATATTGTAACTTCGCTCCTAAGTTGCTGAGTAGCCTGAGGCTCGAGGTGGGCGAGGACTAGAAGGTCGGCCCCGCAAGGAATGGAGGAAGATGTTAGAGGCCTTGTGTTGGTATTCGAGGCGGAAACTCGACACTCAAGTTAGTAATAGGAGGGGTGTGAGGTGGATGAGGCTTGAGGTGAGAACACTCAAATGAAGCCACAAAGGAGAGTAGGTGGGAACACTCAAGTTCCAGTCCCTTACCTTGAGGGGGTTACTTCCTATTTACACTTGAGGCCGCTTGGAGATAGCCGAGTTCGGACGGTCTAGAGGTGGTCTATATGTGGGGAGCGCTTGCTTAAGTCTATATATGAATTTATTCAATTTACATACCATGTGTTCTTGACCTACAACTATGAAACCTTGTGGTTGCTACATATAGATATATTCAGTAAGATGTTCATTCAGGAATGCGGTTTTGACATCCATTTGCCAAATCTCGTAGTCATGGTATGCTGCTACAGCTAACAGGATCCTAATGGATTTATGCATGGCCACCGACGAAAAGGTTTCCTCATAATCGATGCCCTCTTTCTGAGTATACTCTTTCGCCACCAGACGAGCCTTGTAGGTTTCAACCTTACCATCGGGGCCCTTCTTCCTCTTATAGATCCATTTGAAACCAATTGCTTTTATCTCAGGGGGCGAATCTATTAGATTCCAAACTCCATTGGTCTCCATTGAATCCATCTCATCTCTCATGGCATCTACCCACTTCAAGAAATTTATGTCCAACATAGCTTCTGTATAAGTCATGGGATCCTCCTCACTGGTCGTAGCTTCCACCAGGTAACTATCTTGGTCATAGCTGAGACGAACCGGAGGCCTGAAAACCCGGGTAGATCTTCTAGGTTGGTCATTACCTAGAACTTGTGGGACATCTCCCACTGACCCTGAGCTCTCCTCATCAAGAACAACTTCGTGACGATGACTGTTTAGGATGTAATCATCCTCCAAGAAATGGGCATTTCGGCTACAGAACACCTTCTGTTCTCTCGAGTCATAGAATAGGTAACCCATAGAGCCTTTGGGTAGCCTACGAATAGGCAACGGCTGGTCTTGGATTCCAATTTGTCCGCACTCATTCTTTTAATGTGTGCTGGACAACCCCAAATCTTCAATTGTCTGACACTTGGTTTTTTTCCGGTCCAAAGTTCATATGGAGTATTCAGAACCAATTTGGTTGGAACCCAGTTTAGCACATATATCGCAGTCTCCAATGCGAAACCCCAAAAGGATGTGGGCAATTCTGAGTGCACGAGAAGTGACTGAATCATATCCAGTAAGGTCCTATTCCTCCTCTCTGAAATACCGTTTAATTGCGGTGTAGCAGGAGGAGCCAACTGTGATGGATTTAGAAGCCATCTTTCGAAACCATTTCAATTTGTGTTTCCGCAACAGAAAAGTCATTGTGTATTGGTCGATACGCTACCATATCGGCCGATACATGACCGAAACTTATCGATATGGCATCGATACACCTTCGGCACAACGAAAAGAAATGATAGCATTGATTTGGGACCATTCCCCATGCCAAGAACCCGAAGATACGATATGTATACATGATGAAATTTAAACCTTTGATGCTTCCAAATTTTTGGCCATTTTGGGCTTCCATGAGCTTTTTAGGTCATAGGTCTTTCTAACTTCCTATCTTTCATTATTATCAAATAGAGAAGGACTAGATTTTGGTCTTCCAAGCATTATAAAACCCCAAAAGACCACACAAAAAAGACTTGCCAAATGGTTTCTTATATTATATAATACATATATATGTATCATATATAATAAAATATGTTATAATATGTATAAACATAAATATTATATATAATATTAGATGTCATTTAATAATATTTATACCCGTGTTTTCAATCTGTTATTGACTGATTGGTTGAACCGTTCAAACCATCACCCAACTTTAATTTTGGGTCTAATTTTGTTAAAACCTGATATTTAGTCCAAAACTGTTGATTTTGTCAAAAACTGTTTGACCCAAATGATATTTCAAGTTCTATTGAAATAGTAGTTAACTTCTAAGAAATCTCTTCATCTCCATTTGAAAGGAATACAAATAGAAGCTCAAAACCTTATATTTGTACTTCTTTCAAACTGAAACTTCATATTGTAGTTGAGTACTACAAAATCTCTTTGTAAAGAAGTCAGACTACTAAATCAGATCGCATATCCGACATTATTAACATATTCGAATTGGAATATGCGTTTGTAAGATCCGATCAGATATTCATATGGGCTATTTGTTTTATAAGATCGAATTCAAATATAATCTATATTCGAATCCGATCTTTGCGTT